CTGCTCTGGGGGGCCAACTCCGCGCTGGCCCTGGGGCAATGCGTGCTGGCCGGGGCCTTCGCCGCCTACTACTGGGCGCGGGACAAGCCCCGCGACATCCCCCCCTGCGCCCTGGGCGGCGCCCTCCTGCGCACGCTGCGGTGAGCCCTGGGACCCCCCCGGGCCCCCCGTCCCCCCGCTGGGACCCCCCATCCCCATGCTGCGCCCTGCCCCCTTGGGACCCTCATCCCCCGATCCCCCTGTCCCCACGCTGCGCCCTGCGCCCTTGGGACCCTCGTCCCCACGCTGCGGTGAGCCCTGGGACCCCCCATTCCCCCCGATCCCCCTGTCCCCCCGCTGGGACCCCCCATCCCCATGCTGTGCCCTGCGCCCTTGGGACCCTTGTTCCCCCCCAATCCCCCCGTCTCCACACTGTGGTGAGCCCTGGATCCTCCAGAGGAAAGGCATTATGCAAATGAGGGGATCCGGACCCCTGGGTTCCTGCCCCCTTAACCCGGCTTAACTAGCAGGTGTCTGATTTCAGGGAACCCCCCCATGGCTCTGTACCCTTCAAGGGGAGGAGCGGTATGCAATTAGGGGCTGGGATATGTAAATTTCACTATGCATATTCATTGTCTATACAAATATAAAGTTTAAGAAGCTGCCTGTATCGTCTCAGGGGGCAGGGGCTGGGATCCAGGACTCCTGGGTTCTCTCCCTGGCTCTAGGAGAGGAGTGGGGGCTACTGGGTCAGAACGGGGGGGCTGGGCACCAGGACTCCTGGGTTCTCTCTCTACAGCTCTGTCCGCCTCACTAACTGGGTATCCCCCCATGCTGGGGGCCTCTCCCGGCAGGTACCACACGGGGTCGCTGGCTTTCGGGGCCCTCATCCTCACCATCGTCCAGCTGATCCGCATCCTCCTGGAATACCTGGACCACAAACTCAAAGGTGGGGTGACCCCTTCTGGGGAGCGGGGGAGTCACCCTGCCCCCCCTTTCCCAGCCGCCCTCCTTAACTTCCTGCCCTTCACCGTTGCCCCCAGATCCCTGTCCATCCCACAGCTGCGTTTTGGGGCCTACCAGAATCTGTCCTGCCCCCCCAAATCTGAGCCGCCCCAGAGTGCTCCACATGTCTTTGAGAAGCCCGACATTTGTCCCTGCTCCACTCAACCTGCCCCCCAAATTTCTGCTTTTTCCCCAACACGTGACACAGTGGAAATCTTCGTGCCCCCCAAATATTGAGACTCTCTCCCCACCCCAATTTTGCACTGGTTCATCCCCGGATTGCCCGCCCCCCAAGTGGAGCCGTGCCTCCGAACTGGGATCTTCACCCCCAACATTGAGCACTCCCCCCAAATTGTGAGGTCTCCTGCAAGCACCCCAAATTCTGGGGCCTGGCCCAAGAGCTGTCACCCTGTGTGTGCAGTGTCTCCACGTACAGCTCCCCATTTCAGCGTCCCTGTCCAAACCCTGCCCCCCACAACCCTTTCCCTCCCAAAATCACCTGTTACCCCACCTCTGACACCTTCACCCCCACTTCGCTCCTTGTTAGCTCACAGCTGGGCCAGTCCCACTTCCCCTGGCCCTTGAGACATTTTGGGGTTCAGAGACCCCAATATTGCAATGAGAGATGCTAATTTTCCTCGTACCCAATATCTCGCCATAGCCTCAGTCCCTGAGCCAACTCGGGGTTTGGGGACCCCAAGACATTTTGGGGTTCAAAAATGTCCCCAGATACCTCATTGTTCCCCCAGGCCTCAGATGTCCTTGTTTGTGCACCCCAATATTCCATTGTTCCCCAAGATATTCTAGGGTTCAGGGATACACCCCAATATTGTCTTGCACACAGACCCCTAAACGTTTTAGGGTCCTGAGTTGTGTCCCCCAGTCTCCTAATACATTTTAGCATTCAGCGTTGCCCTTGCACCCCCAAATCCAAGACATATTGGGGTTCAGGAATCCCCCTTGGCCTAGTACCCCAATATGCTAGCCTTCCCCCAGACCCTGAGACCTTTGGGGCTTCGGGGACGTGGTGGGGGTCCCTGGGAGGGGGCTGGGGGCGTTTGGGGTTGCACGGGGGTGTCTGATTGGCTCCTGCCCCCCTAGGAGCCCAGAACCCCTTCACACGCTGTCTGCTCTGCTGTCTCAAATGCTGCTTCTGGTGCCTGGAGAAATTCATCAAATTCCTCAACAGGAACGCCTACATCATGGTGGGGGAGCGGGCCTGGGGGCCACGGGGGGGTGGGCCTTGGGGGGTCACTGGGTGGGGGAGGATGGGCCCTGCGGGGGTATATAGGTTATGAGATGTGGGGGATCTTTGGGGTATGTGGGGCGATCCCTTTACAGGGGAGTGGCTTGGTGTGTATGTGGGGGGCACTGGGATGTGGGGGGTGCGCACTCCTGGGGGTAGGGCTTTGCGGGACGGGTGTGTTGCAGTGGGTCTCCCTGGGGGTGGGGTTAATCCTTGAGATGTGGGTGGGGTCCCTTGGCTGTCGGAGGTGGCTATTTCAGGGCGGCAAAGAGTTTGGGGGGGTCCCATGCTATGGGGTGAAAGGGGAGAGCTGCCCATCCTACCAGGGGGGACCCTGGGCCAGTTTGGGGGGTATCTGGTGAAAGGTGGGGGTCCTGTGGAGAGAAGGGGTTCCTTGGGAGCTCAGGGGTCCCTGGAGAGGGGCGAGTGGGGTGGGGAGAGTTTGGGGGAGTCTCAGGCATGGGAGCAGGGGTCTCGGGGTTTGGGGGAGCACAGAGTTGGAATGTCTCTCTCTCCCCCCGTTACGGGGGTGTCCCCATCGCCCCCCCAGATTGCGATCTATGGGAAGAATTTCTGCACGTCCGCCAAGAACGCCTTCAAACTGCTCATGCGCAATATTATCAGGTAACCGGACGCCCGGGTTCTTTCCCGGGCACTGGGAGGGGAGCAGGGTCTAGTGGTTAGAGCAGGGAGGGCTGAGAGCCAGAACTCCTGGGTTCTCTCCCTGGCTCTCGGAGCGGAGCAGTGTCGGAGGACTGGGTGCCCGGACTCCAGGGTTCTCTCTCTGGGGCAGGGCAGGGAGTTGGGGCCAGGCACCCGGACTCCTGGGTTCACTGTCTGGCTCTAGAAGGGGCGTGGGGGCTGGGGGCCTGGACTCCAGGCTCCTCTCCCCAGCTCTGGGAAGGGAGCAGTGTCCGGGGATCGGGTGCCTGGACTCCGGCGCCGGGAGGGGAGGTGGGGGCCAGGCACCCGGACTCCTGGGTTCTCTCCTCCCCAGGGTGGTGGTGCTGGATAAAGTGACCGACCTGCTGCTGTTCTTCGGGAAGCTGCTTGTGGTGGGGGGCGTCGGGGTCCTCGGGTTCTTCTTCTTCTCGGGCCGGATCGAGATCTCCGACCCCCAGTTCCGCTCGCCCTCCCTCAACTACTACTGGCTGCCCATCCTGGTACGTGCCCCCCGCCGCGGGGAGAGGGGCCGGGGCCCAGGATCTGGGGGGCTGGCATCTGAGCTCCAGGGAGGGGTCTCCCTTGGGGGTCGGGATCTGGGCTGACCCCCATCTCCCCCTTGCAGACGGTGGTGGTGGGCGCCTACCTGATCGCCCAGGGCTTCTTCAGCGTCTACAGCATGTGTGTGGACACCCTCTTCCTCTGCTTCCGTGAGTGCCCCCCGCCCCGCCCCCCAGCCTGCCCCCCGGCCGGGGCGTGGGGCTGACCCCCCTGTCTCCCCGCAGTGGAGGACCTGGAGCGGAACGACGGCTCCGTGGAGAAGCCGTATTATATGTCGTCCTCCCTCATGAAGCTCCTCAACAAGAAGAACAAGAAGGCGGAGACGAAATAGCCCCCCACAAGTGTGGGGCGCTGCCCCTCCCCCGTCACTGCATTTCCTGGGGAGGGCCCCCCCCCCTCGCTCCCCTGCCCGGTGGCCATCTTGCATTGCGGGCCTCTTCCGTGGCCAGCCAACCTCCCCCGGCCCTGCTCCTTCCCCCCACCGTGGCCAAGCTCCCCCGCTCTCCCTCCCCCCCTCCAACCTCCCCCTCCCACCGCCTGGGGGGGGCTGCTCCCTCCCCCCACGCCCCCCCCCCCCCCCCCCCCCACAATAGCCAACCTCTCCCCCCACCGTGGCCAAACTCCCTCCCCCCCGCCTGGGGGGCGTCTGCTCCCTCCCCCCACAGTGGCCAAGCTCCCCCCCCCCGGCCTGTCTGCTCCCTTCCCCCACAGTGGCCAAACTCCCTCCCCCCCACCTGGGGGGGCGTCTGCTCCCTCCCCCCACAATGGCCAACCTCTCCCGCCACTGTGGCCAAACTCCCTCCCCCCGCCTGGGGGGCGTCTGCTCCCTCCCCCCACAGTGGCCAAGCTCCCCCCCCCCCCCCCCGGCCTGTCTGCTCCCTTCCCCCACAGTGGCCAAACTCCCTCCCCCCTGCCTGGGGGGTGTCTGCTCCCTTCCCCCACCGTGGCCAACCTCCCCCCCCCCCGGCCTGTCTGCTCCCTTCCCCCACAGTGGCCAAACTCCCTCCCCCCCCTGCCTGGGGGGCGTCTGCTCCCTTCCCCCACCGTGGTCAACCTCCCCCCCCCGCGTGTCTCTCCTTCCCCCCCGTGCCTCACTCTCCCCCCCCTGCCCCCGTGGGCATCCGCTTCCTTCCTCCACCGGGGCCAACCTCTCCCCCCCCCCCCCCCGCGGGTGTCGCTTCCCGTCGGCCATGTTGGAGCAGGGGGGCCTACAGCCCAGCCCCCTCACATTAGCTCCCCTTCCTGTCGGCCATTGTACGGGGGGCCTGTGCCGGAGTCCAGGCCCCCGCCTCTCCGGCCTGGTTCCTCCACCTTGTCGTGTGTCCCCAGGCCCACTTCCTGTCCGTAACCGTGTCACTTCCTGTCCATGGCCAATGCAGGCCATGCCCCATGCTGTAGGAATGACCATAATCAATAGCCCCCCCCAATATCCTCCCCGCCCTTCCCCCCCCGCGGCTTAGCCAGTGCAGGGTGTACAGAGCCCCTCCCAGGCTGTCTCTCGCCAGGGCATTAAGGAGCAAGGAGCAGCGATTTCATTAAAGATGATTTACTAATTAATGGGGCTGGTTCGTTAATTAATCCGAAGCAGGCTGGGGCAGGGCAGCACCCCCGTAGTGATGGGAGCTGCCCGGGGAGAGCCCCCTCCCGGAAACAAGGGATCCAGGCGCCCAGCCACCCGCGCAGGGCCGGGCATGGCCCAGACCCAGCCTTCGCTGGCGTGGTAAATACTCCCCCCCCCCCCAGTCATTTCTAAGCAAAGCGCCCCCTCCTGGGCGCGGCCGGGGCTGGAGTAGCTGGGATCCCCCCGCAGCGGCCCTGTCCGTTCCAGCTCAGCGGCCCCATCTCCGGTGGGGCCTGGGCGGGGGGCAGAGCCGGCCCCACACGCCAGCCCCCGGATCTGCAACAGAGCCAAGGGCAGAGTGAAGCTGCAGCCTGGGGAAGAGATTTGCCCCCCCAGCTGGTCTCCTCTCCCACCCTCTGCTGCAGCCCTGCCCCCTCCTCCCTTTCCCCACTGCCCCTTCCGTGGTCTCTCGCCTCCCTTCCCCCTCTGCCAGGTGCCCTCACTCACCCTCCTCCGCTCACAGCGTCTGCTTCATCCCCCCGGCCCCGCGCTGCAGCCAGGACGCCTGCAGCTTCTGCAGCTGCCGGTCCTTCTCCTCCGCCTCTCGGGCAGCCTTCTGCAGGGGAGAAGCCAGTGGATCAGCCCTGTCTGCCCGGGAAGGCAGAGACCGGCCACAACTCATTGCAGGGCTGAGCCCAGCTGCTCCAGTCCCCGCTGCAGCCAGCAGGTGGCGCCAAAGCTGCCCCCAGCTGCAGTTCCTCCAGCAGCCCCTATTGGCAGCTGGGTGCAGGCCGGCTGCAGCCACTAGGTGGTGCTAGTCGGGTCTCCCCCATCCCACCGCTGCCCCCGGGCTCGCCACTAGGTGGTGCTAGTCGGGTCTCCCCCATCCCACCGCTGGCCCCGGGCTCGCCACTAGGTGGTGCTAGTCGGGTCTCCCCCCCCCCCCCATCCCCCCACCGCTGCCCCCGGGCTCGCCACTAGGTGGTGCTAGTCGGGTCTCCCCCATCCCACCGCTGCCCCCGGGCTCGCCACTAGGTGGTGCTAGTCGGGTCTCCCCCATCCCACCGCTGCCCCCGGGCTCGCCACTAGGTGGTGCTAGTCGGGTCTCCCCCATCCCACCGCTGCCCCCCGGGCTCACCGCCAGCGCATGGTCCCGCTCCTCCAGCAGCCCCCGCAGTCGGGCCAGCTCCCCCCGGCCCTGCGCCAGGGCGGCGGCTCTCTCAGCCAGCGCCCCCTCCTGCCGGGCCAGGCGCCCCCGCAGGGCCGCCGCCTCCCGCGCCCGTTCGGCCAGTGCCTGGGTGCAGCCTCGCAGCTGGCCCTGGGGGCGGGAAATAAGAATTAGTGCCCCCAGCCCTGCCCCATCTCCTGCCCCCCAGCCCTGCCCCATCTCCTGCCCCCCAGCCCTGCCATCCTCCACCAGCAACGCCCCTCCCTCACCTGCAGCTGCTGCTCTGCGGCGGCCTGGGCCGCCAGCGCCCCCTGCAGCCGGGCTTCCATCTCCGCAGCCAGCCGGGCCCGCTGGGCCAGCGCCTCTGCCAGGAGCCGCTCCTGCTCCTGCAGCCGCTGCAGCAGCCCCGGGCCTGGGGCATCCAGGGCCGCGGCCAGCACCTTGGGGGAGAGCGGGAGACACACACTATTGCTCTCGGGGTGCTACACGGAACCTGCCCAGGGACCGGAGGAGCTGAGATGGGAGAACACTGTTGCAACAGTGGTTTCAGCCCTCACCTGGCGGGGAGCAAACCTAGAGACGCCTCCTGGGGCTGGTCGGGGAGGAAAATGTTGTTTCACCCACTGTGGAGGCTGGCACCTGCCCTAGCAAGCCAAGGTAGGGAGCACAGTCCTGCACAGCCAGAACTGGGAGACGCTGGCGAGATGGATGGTCTAACCCTCAGCTGCCCGGCAGGATCAACCCCAGCAGAGCAGCTCAACTGGGACACAGGAAATGAGTTAAACATTGTTGCAAGGGATGTTCTACACAGCACCTGGCCAGGTGGGGACAGCTGACCTGGGAAGACCTAGAAGGTGGGAAACATTGTTGCAACTGGTAGTCTATATGGCAGCTGCCGTGGGGAATGAAAGCCATTGGGAAACTGAGGCAGGCGCAGCCCCTGTTCTAACCCGTGTTATAGACATCACCTATCAGCGATGGGGTGTGCACTGAATTCCCAATGCAATTTCTGAGTGGGGACCAGCTGGCAGGCGTGAAAGAATTGGTGCAAGATGGGTTATACCCAGGCGGGAATCACGCTGGAGCCAGGAATCGCTGTCACACCCCCCCCCCCCCCGTTCTGCATGGCCCTGGGCAGGGGGCTCCCTACCTCCAGGTCCTTGGTGCTGCTGGCCAGCGCGGCCTGCAGGGCGGCGACCAACTCCTCCATCTCCTTCAGCGCCAGTGCCCGGGTCTGGTCCTGCCGGCGCCAGGCGTCCTGGGCCATGGCACAGAGCGATGCCAGCTGCCCCGACTCCAGCTCCTTCTGCTCCAGCGTCTCGCGGAGCGCCTGGAGACCCCCGCCCCCCAAACAGTGTGTGGGGAGGGAGCGGGGGGACAGATTCCCCCTGCCCTGGGTCAGGTGGGACGGAGGAATGGGGCGGGGCGTATACCCCATGGGGAACCCCCTCCTTGGGTCAGATGGGAAGGAGGAATGGGGGGGTGTATACCCTGTGGGGAACCCCCTCCCTGGTAAATGGGGGCAGAGGAGGAACGTTGGGGTGTATACCCCGAGGGGAACCCCCTCCCTGGTAAATGGGGGCAGAGGAGGAATGGGGTGTATATGACATGGGGAAAGGGGGCTTTGGGTGTCCAGCCTGTCTCGTCCCATGGGGCGGAGGGGCAGAGGTCCCGGGGCGGAATCCCCCTGGGGAGGGATGTGGGGAATCCCGGGTGACCCCCCGCCCACAGATCTGGGGGTCCCCAGCCCCCTTACGTGCAGGGTCCGCTCTCCGGTGCGCAGCGCGGCCGCCAGCCGCCCCCGGTCGCGGTCCTGGTCCTGCAGCGCCCCCTGCAGGCGGCCCCGCTCCTGCTGCTCCTGCTCCAGCGCCAGGTAGTGATCGGCGAGGGTGCGCTGGGGGGGCGGAGCGGGGGAGCGAGTCAGGGGCGCGGCGGGGGGGGACACGCGGGCCCGAGCCGGGCGGGGGGGGACAGGACTGAGCTGGGCTCGGGGGGGGGACACGAGGGACCGAGCCGGGCGGGGGGGGACAGGACTGAGCTGGGCTCGGGGGGGGACACGAGGGACCGAGCCGGGCGGGGGGGGACAGGACTGAGCTGGGCTCGGGGGGGGGACACGCGGGACCGAGCCGGGCGGGGGGGGACAGGACTGAGCTGGGCTCGGGGGCACACGAGGGACCGAGCCGGGCGGGGGGGACAGGACTGAGCTGGGCTCGGGGGGGGACAGGGGGCCCGGGCCGGGCTGGGGGGCGGAGCGGGGGAGCGAGTCGGGGGGACACATGCGGGCGCCGGGCGGGGGGGGACAGGATGAGCTGGGCTCGGGGGACAGAGGGCCCGAGCCGGGCGGGGGGGCAGGACTGAGCTGGGCTCGGGGGGGACACGAGGGACCGAGCCGGGGGGGGGGGCAGGATGAGCTGGGCTCGGGGGGACACGAGGGACGAGCCGGGCGGGGGGGGGACAGGACTGAGCTGGGCTCGGGGGGACACGCGGGACCGAGCCGGGCGGGGGGGGGGACAGGACTGAGCTGGGCTCGGGGGCACACGAGGGACCGAGCCGGGCGGGGGGGACAGGACTGAGCTGGGCTCGGGGGGGGACACGAGGGCCCGAGCCGGGCGGGGGGGGACAGGACTGAGCTGGGCTCGGGGGGGGACACGAGGGACCGAGCCGGGCGGGGGGGGCAGGACTGAGCTGGGCTCGGGGGGGGACACGAGGGACCGAGCCGGGCGGGGGGGGACAGGGCCGGGCCCACCGCCCATGAAGGAGGGAGCGCGGCGGGGGCGGGGGCGGGGGGGGCTCCTACCTCCAGCGCCTGGTCCCGATCCTTGAGCCGCCCGCAGAGGTGCGGGACCAGGCTCTCCGGGGCGGGCGGCTCGGCCCCCGGCGGGGCCAGGCTCTCCAGGGCGGCCAGGCAGTCCTGCGGGAGGCAGAGGGGGGGTTAGGGGCTGAGCCCGGGGTCTGCTCCCCCCGTCCCCCCACTTCCCCCCCACCTACCTGCAGCGCCGCCTCCTTGCTGTGTAGACACCGAGCCAGCGCCCCCAGGAGCCGCTCCCGGCTCCGACCCGGCCCGGGCCCCTCCCCCGGCTCAGGGGGGACCCCGGCGTCCTGCGGAAGAGAGAGATGAGGCGGGGGGTGGCAGGGGGCTCTCCCCGGGCGGGCAGGGCTGCCCCATTGCCCCAGGGGGGCGCTGGGCTGCAGGCGGCTCTCCCCGGGCAGCGTGGGGCTGGGGATGCTGCCCCCCAAATTCCATACCTCGGGGGCCCAGCCCCCCGTCTTCGCCCGAAGGCTCCTCAGCTCCTCCTCAGCAGCCGCCAGCCGCCCCGTCAGCTCCTGGCACCGGAGCCGCCGCCCCCCCAGAGTCTGGAAAGAGAATGGGGAGAAGGACGCACCCCAACCTCTCCCGGAGACAGAGGGACTCTCCGGGGGTGGGAGCTGGTGGGTTAGAGCAGGCTGCGGGGAGGGTGGAGGGCGGGAGCCAGGACTCCTGGGTTCTCTCTCTGGCTCTGGGAGGGGAGTGGGGGCTAGTGGTTAGAGCAGGGGGGCGCTGGGAGCCAGGACTCCTGGGTTCCCTCCCTGGCTCTGGGAGGGGAGTGGGGGCTAATGGTTAGAGCAGGGGGGGCGCTGGGAGCCAGGACTCCTGGGTTCTCTCCCTGGCTCTGGGAGGGGAGTGGGGTCTAGTAGGTTAGAGCAGGGGGGGTGGGAGCCAGGACTCCTGGGTTCTATTCCTCCTTCCCCTTCTTACCTCCACCCCTAGTGGTACGAATTCATCCTCGAATTCCTCTTCTTCCTCCTCCTGCTCTTCTTCCTCTTCCTCCTCCATCTCCCTGGGGGGGCCAGAGGGGGCTGCCCTCTTCGCCAGCACCGGGATCCTGCTGCCGCGGGGCACCCTCAGCGCCCGCTGGCTGATGCCCCTGAGTGCCCGCAACGCCTCCCCCAGCGGCTCCGGCCCAGCCAGGCTGTCCAGGGACAGGAGGGAGCAGGACCCGGCGCGGAGGGAGAGCAGGGACCCCCCGTGCCCCCGGGGGCCCCCCAGGCCAGCCCGCAGTACTAGCGGCATGCTCTGGGACTTGTCCCGGCAGAGGGGCAGCGCCGGGGAGCCGGCCCCGAGCGGCCGCGGCCTCCTGCACACCCACTCGTAATCCGCGTCGGGCACCCGCAGCCCGTGGCAGCCGGGGCACCAGCGGTTCTGGCAGGGGCTCCCGCCGGTGCCCGGCTCTGCCCAGCACTCGAGCCCGGACAGCGCCATGTCGTCCTGCAGCAGCCGCAGGTACGGCGCGTCCAGCCGCTGGGGGGCGCCCGCCGGGCTGGGGGGCAGGCTGGCCTCGGGGCTGCGGCGGGCCTGGAGGTGCCGGAGGCAGCGGACCAGGCGCTCCTTCTCCTCCAGGAGGTGCCGGAGCCGCGTGAGGGACAGCGCCTGGACCCGGGCGATCACCGCGTCGAAGCGGAAAACCCGCCCCAGAGCCTGGGCACATTTCCCGCAGAGGAACTCGCCCCGGCCGTCCCCCGGCGCGGGGCCTCCCGGCACACGTGGGCCAGGAGGACCCGCAGGTCGGGGCGCTGGGGGGCCCGGTGGAAGAGCCACCGGCGCTGGCTGCCCTGCAGCTGAGAGCCACACAGCCGGCAGGCATCGCTCGGGTCCTCCATGGGCAGCGAGAGCCTGATCTGGAACCTCAGAGGGGCTCTGGAGCTCCCTGCTTTGGGTGGGCCCGCTCTGGAGCCCTACGTCTGGTTTCTAGAGGCCACCCAACCCACAGCTCGCCGGTCCAGCCAATCTAGAGCAAGGCAGGATCGAGAACCGGCTCCCGGGGATGCGTAGGCTCCAGAACCTAGCGGGTCTTGCTGCCGTTTCCGGAGTCCGCACGCGTCAGCCTGGCAGGAGGTGTCAGCTCGGGAGCCTGATGGCATCTAGAACCCTGTCTGCTCTAGATCATCGTGAGGTTCTGGATCCTCTGAGCTGGTCCCTCCAGCGCTGAATCCAGAGCCCTATATCGCGGTACTGCAGCGACTAGATTGGCCTGTGCCTCAGTCTCCTCTCCCGCTTGGACCGCCCAGATCTAGACACACATGCAATTCAGTACCCGTGTCGCCAAGCTAGACCCCCCCACAAGGATCTAGAATGGGGCGCTAGAAACCTGGGGTAATCTAGAACCCAGTTTTCCCACCTGCTGGCTCCACCTCATGGTGTAACAGGCTACAGGATGGTTGCAGGCTTTAGAACCCAGCGCGGTCCAGATCCTTGGGGGCCTGGAGCTTTTCTGTTCCTCTAGCATCGAGCAGATTCCCTGGGGTCTGCTCTGGAACCTGGCGGAGCCTAGAACGTGGTGGGATCCAGAACTTGCCTGCTCTAGACCTGGATTATTCGTCCTGTTTCTCCAGATCCCAGATGTGGCTGCTCCAGAGGTCAGTGGAGTCTAGAACCCCGAGCTAGAACCCGGCTCACAGGTCTGCACTGATCTAGATCCTTCGTGGAGGGGTCGAATTGTGGGATGGAACGAACCAGGCTAGGAGAGCAAATAAAATAAAGTCAGACCCCCCCCTGCCAGCTCTGCCGGTGCCCCTCACTCCCGACCCGCAGCCCCCTGCCCGCCCAGCCCTGGGCTCCCCCCAGCTCTGCCGGTGCCCCTCACTCCCGACCCGCAGCCCCCTGCCCGCCCAGCCCTGGGCTCCCCCCAGCTCTGCTGGTGCCCCTCACTCCCAATGCCTGCTGCGGGTGTGGGGGAGGGGGGTCAGGGAAGGGAGGTGGGGCTGGGCCAGTAAGGGGTCAGGACAGTGGCAGGGGAACGAAAGAGGGAAGTGGGGGTGGGGATTTGAGGCCAAAGGGGAGGGGTGACTTGGGGAGGGAAGCCAGCGGGGTGGGGTCTTGGCCTGATTCCAGAGTCTACAAGTACCCAGCGCTGCCCAGATCCGGGAGAGAACCCAGGCATCCGGGCTCCCAGCCCCCACTCTCCTCCCATTGCCAGGCAGAGAACCCAGGAGTCCTGGTTCCTACGCCCACCATAGTAGTCCCCACTCCCCTCCCAGATCCAGGAGCTAACCCAGGCGTCCGGGCTCCCCTCCCCCTCCCTGTTCCATGGGGTGGGGATAAGCAGACACAGCCGCAGGGTTTGGACTTTATCCCCCTCTGCTCCTGTCTCACCCCACCCCCACCCCCAGGGATAAATCCCCTCCCCCTCCCCCCAACCCCCCTCTGGCTCCCCCTTGTCACCTCTCGGGTCCCGGGGCCTGAGTGAAAAGGGGTCCGGGCTGCTCAGGTGTCTCCCCACCCCGCCCGCATCCGGGAGCAAGAGCCGCACACCTGCCGGGCCCGCCCCTCCCGGGGCCGGGGCGGGAACCCAGGAGTCCGGGCGCCCAGCTCCCCGCCCCGCGCTCTAACCCCCCCCCCTCCCCTCCCTGAACTGGGAAGAGAACCCAGGAGTCCGGGCTCTCAACCCCACCCACCCCACCTGCTCTAAACAAGAGACCCCACTTCCCTCCACGAGCTGGGGAGAGAACCCAGGAGTCCGGGTGCCCAGCTCCCACCCCTCCCGCTCTAACCACCAGACTCCACTCCCCTCCCTGAACCAGGGACAGAACCCAGGAGTCCTGGCTCCCAGCCCCCCCCTCTAAGCACTAGACCCCACTCCCGGCGCGCTCTCTCACCTCTCTCTCTCTCTCTGGGGGGGGTGCTGCTGTCTCTGTCCTGCTGCCCCCCCCGCCCCAAGCAGCCTGTTTACAGACAAGCCACTTAAAGGCAGCAGGTGCGGCCGGATTAACCCGCTAATCCCCCCCCCAGCTAATCCCCCCACCCGCCTGGCTAGCCTGGGGGGGGGCAGGTCCAGGCTGAGCGCTGGGGTGGGGCGCTGTGCTGGGGGGGGGCCCAACTTTGCACGGGGGGGAGGGGGCACTGTGCTGAGGGGCCGGGACAGCAGCGCGGGGGGGCGCTGGCCCTTTAATTCCCACCCCCGCGTCACCCTGTCGGAATGTGAGTCTGGAGCTCAGGGGGCGGGGAGGAGGTCAGGACTCCTGGGTTCTCTTCTGGTTCTGGCAGGGGAGTGGGGTCTAGTGGTTAGAGCGGGGGGGGGAGGTGCAGGACTCCTGGGTTCTCTCCCCCCCCCCCCCAAGGAAACCCACACACACACACTGGGGAACAAAGTGCTTTTATTATTATAAATACACAGGAAATGGAGGCCGGAATCGGGGGTGTAACACTGACCCCCCCCACCATGATACGTCTCCCCGGGGGCGGGGGGCACAGCGGGGTTCCCAGGCAGACAGCCCCCCCCCACAGCTCCATAAATATTAAACATCCGCGCAGGGGGCGGGGCCTGGGGACCCCAATATTTTACATACCAGTCAGGGAGCCCCAAACAGCCCCCCTCTGTGAGAAACGGGGGTCTCAGAATTGGGGGCTGCAGAGACCCCCCCTCAAAGATTGTGCTCCTGCACCCCCAAATTTTGTGTCCTGGTCACGCTGACCCTCTGGGCTCTAGCCCCCCAAAATCAGTCTGGCACCCCCACATCAATCTGAAGCCCCCTCAAACTAGGGCCCCCATGATGCTGGGCCCCCCCCAAAGGCAGCTGGACTCCCAAACCTGCACCCCCAAGTCAATTGCCCAGTCACCCCAACTGTGCACAGCACCCCAAAATTCAAAGTACCCCAGACACCTGCAGCCCCAAATTTCAAGTCAGATGCAGCCAGCTCTGCAATTACCCCAATACAGCCCTAGATTGCAAAGGTGCGGGCCCCCCCAAAACACCTGGATCAGAAAATGCAGGAATCGCGCCCTGCAATACAGCCTAGTACCCCAATACTGACAATGTGCTACCGAGAATTGAACTGAACCTTATAACTAATGACACCCCCATAATGTCCCATTAACCCCCAGCAGCCCCCCAAAATTATCCTAGAACCCCTGAACTCAGGGTCCAAGTCTCCAGCCATTTATAAAAATAACCCCAATAACATGCAAATCCAGCCACCCCCAAATTACCACCCCTAAAACTCCAGCAAACCCCCAAATAAATGGAGTTCCCTGAACTGAATCACCCGATGAATTAATACAAAACCTCTAGTGACCCCCAAAACTAGCAGTCTTCACAGGCAGGGAGCCCCAAAACTTAACCCCGAGTCCCTACAAGTCATGAAAATTTCTAGTGACCCCCCCAATTTAAGTGGTTCCCCAAAACTCAACCCACTGAATGAACCTCTAACATAGGCCAATGTACTTAACTCAATCCACGTGAACTCCCTTAAGGGGAGTGAACCCCCAAACTACAAGCAAATTCTCTAGTAACCCCCAATATCAACAGCCCTTAACTACTAAAATAAGTGAACCTCTAAAATTCATGCAAATGTCCCAATGACCCCAAACTTCCCAGAGCCAAGAACCAGGCGCTGCAACGTGAACCCCAAAATATAACGCACAATTCCTGCTGACCCCAACCAGCAGATCTCCTGGACACCCCAAAACCCACAGCCCCGAACTGTCTCCTGGAAATGCAACCCCCAAATTTGGTCACCCCAAAACCACCCTCAAGGCCCTAAAACTGAACCCCCCAATTGCAGCTGATGCCTCTTTCCAAGCCTTGGGGTTCAACTAAGTTCCCCAGTTGAATCCACACCCATCTTTGGCACCCCAAAGTTTGGGCTCCCATGTCTAATATTCCCCATAGCGAACCCCCAAATCCTTCCTCGTCACCCCTCAAATCCTTGACCCCAGTGTGGGGGTACTGCAGAGTCTCTAGGGAGTTCCCCAAATCCCCTTACACTCATCCATCCCCCCAATTTTCCACTCCCAAATTCAATGGAACCCCCACACTGCCTCATCTGGAAACGTACCTAAAAAGTTCTGTGAACCCCCAAATGTCAAGTACCCCAATATTCCCCCTTTTGGGGATCCACTCCCTCCCCCTCCCCTGAGCTAAGACGGGGTTGGGTCTGGTTTTGGGGGTACAACAGCGGAGCTCTGAAGCCCCCCTGAAATCCCTGAGTCCCACACGAACATGGCAGCTCGGTTGGCCCCCTTGTGCCAGGCACGAAAGGGTTAATACTGGAACCTGCCTGGCTGGGGGGGCTGAGTCACCCCCAAACTGAGCCCTCCCAGGGCAGCCCCCCCAACCAGGCAGCCATGATATGAACTATGGGCCGGTTCAAACCCTGTCACCCCCCAAATCTTTTACAATCGTTTTCTGACCGGGAAAAGGACCCCAGCCCCCCCCCCCGGACCCCACCTTCCCAACGTCCCATTCCCAGCCTCCCCCGCAATTCCAGCCCCCCGGACCCTCCCCGAGGAAACCTCCTGCTCCAAACACCCAAACAGGGTGGTGTGGCCGGGAGGGTTGCAATTGAAAAGGCGGGGTGCCCCCCCGTCCTCCCCGGGCTAGGAGAGCCAGGGGGCCAGGCAGGCCTCGTAGACGGTGCGGTTGGAGTGCCAGGCCGTGTGGGGCACCCCGGGCACCAGGCACCGGGTGATGGCACCGCGGGCATCCAGCGTCTTCAGCCCGAAGCTGTCCTGCAGGTAAACCTGGCGGGGATGGGGGGGGTCGGGTATATGGGGGGGGGAATCAGAGACAGGCGAGAGTCAGACAGCGTAATACAGAGAGACCCCCCCGCCCCCTCCAGCCCCTCCAGCCCCCTCCAGCCCCGCCGCCCCCCGACCCCGTCCCGCTGTGCATCAGGGCCCGAGACACGAAAACCCAGGGGTCCTGGCTCCCAGCCCCCCGGCTCTAACCCACCAGCCCCCACTCCCCTCCCACAGCCGGGGAGAGAACCCAGGAGTCCTGGCTCCCAGCGCCCCCCGGCTCTAACCCACCAGCCCCCACTCCCCTCCCACAGCCGGGGAGAGAACCCAGGAGTCCTGGCTCCCAGCCCCCCCCCCCCCGGCTCTAACTCACTAGCCCCCACTCCCCTCCCACAGCCGGGGAGAGAACCCAGGAGTCCTGGCTCCCAGCCCCCCCCGGCTCTAACTCACTAGCCCCCACTCCCCTTCCACAGCCGGGGAGAGAACCCAGGAGTCCTGGCTCCCAGCCCCCCCCCCCGGCTCTAACTCACTAGCCCCCACTCCCCTCCCACAGCCGGGGAGAGAACCCAGGAGTCCTGGCTCCCAGCGCCCCCCGGCTCTAACCCACCAGCCCCCACTCCCCTCCCAGGCCTCACCAGCTGCTGCTCCATGTCCATCACCGTCTCGTTGAGGTTGTAGAAAGCGAAGAGGCTGTTTGCGGGGGAATGAGGGGGGGGTTACTGAGGGGTCATTTATTGGGGGGTGCCCAGGTCGCAGGGAGCTGCAGACCCAGCCCTGGGCCGGCCCCCAATTTCTGTTATCCCCCAGCACCTGGCACCCTCCCCAGTACCCCAAATCTCCCCCACTGGGGGTCCCCCCTAACTGCAGGTTCTCCTGGCTCCCCAAATCCTGCGCCGGCCCCCAAACTTCATCATATCCCCTCCCCCTCTGCACCCCACCCTTCCCACCACAGCCCAGCTGTGAACCCTCCCACTTCCCAGGACAGCCCCCCACAGGCCCCCCAAATTCACCCCCCCAACTTCCAGTGCCCCCTTTCTATGGCCCCCATAAGTCATCTCTGGCCCCCACAGCAACGCTCCCAGGGCCCCCGATCTCCCCCCGGCGCGTTCACCTGGACTGCCAGGGCGTGATGACCCCGTCGTCCGGACCCCCGACCAGAACCAGCTTCTGGATCCGCACGAGATTCCTCTTCCAGGCTGGGGGCACGGGGAGGGGAGTTATGGGGGATAGGGGGACCCCAGCTGCGAACACCCCACCCTGCAAGGACCAGCCTAGAGAAACAGGGGGCTGCGGGTTGGGAGCGAGGGGCGCCGTGGGTCGGGAGCGAGGGGCGCCGGGGGGCCGCGGGTGGGGAGCGAGGGGGGGCCGCGGGTCGGGAGCGAGGGGCGCCGGGAGCGGGTGCGCTGGGGAGCAGGGGGGCTGGGGGCGAGGGGGCCGGGGGCCGCGGGTCGGGAGCGAGGGGCGCCGGGGGGCCGCGGGTCGGGAGCGAGGGGCGCCGGGGGGCCGGGGGGCCGCGGGTCGGGAGCGAGGGGCGCCGGGAGCGAGGTGCGCTGGGGAGCAGGGGGGCTGGGGGCGAGGGGCGCCGGGGGGCCGCGGGTCGGGAGCGAGGGGTGCCGGGGGCCCGGGGGGCCGCGGGTCGGGAGCGAGGGGCGCCGGGGGCCAGGAGCGAGGGGGCCGGGGGTGGGGGCCGGGGGCTGCGGGTCGGGAGGGGGGGGGGGGGGCGCGGGTCGGGAGCGAGGGGCGCCGGGGGGCCGGGGGGAGTGAGGGGCGCCGGGGCGCTGGGGGGCCACGGGTCGGGAGCGAGGGGCACCGGGGGGGCGCTGGGGGCCGCGGGTCGGGAGCGAGGGGCGGGCCAGAGCGAGGGGCTCGGGTGGGGTCAGGGGCCGGGGGAGCGAGGGGCGCCGGGGCGCTGGGGGGCCACGGGTCGGGAGCGAGGGGCGCCGCGGGTCGGGAGCGAGGGGCGCCGGGGGGCCGCGGGTCGGAAGCGAGGGGCGCCGGGGGGCCGGGGGGCCGCGGGTCGGGAGCGAGGGGCGCCGGGGGGCCGGGGGCCGCGGGTCGGGAGCGAGGGGCCCCCTCCCTTACCTGTGGCGTTGGGATTAACCCTTTCACTGTTGAGCAGGGCGAGGAAGTTGCTGGTGTTGAGATAAAGGTCCCGGTGATGTGGGTCTGGAAGGCAGGGGGGGGTCAGAGTCTGGGGAGGGGCCCCGAGGCCCCGCCCGGCCCCGCCCGCCCCCGACTCACCATTCCAGTAGTTGCAGATGGAGACGTCCTGGCCCAGGTGGGTGTAGCAGAACCGGAAGAGGTTGGACTTCACGTACCTGGGGAACAGCCAGCGCAGGTACCGGGTGTCTGCAGGGGGCAGGGAGTCAGACGGGCCTCAGCCCCCCGGCCCCCCTCACTGCCGACCCGCGGCCCCCCCGGCGCCCCCTCACTGCCGACCCGCGGCCCCCCCGGCGCCCCAGCACCCCTCACTCCCAACCCGCAGCCCCCCAGCCCCCCTCACTCCTGACCTGCAGACCCCCCAGCCCCCCTCACTCCCGACCCGCAGCCCCCCGGCGGCCCCTCACTCCTGACCTGCAGACCCCCAGCCCCCCCAGCACCCCTCACTGCCAACCCGCAGCCCCCCCGGCCCTCCAGCCCCCCTCACTCCCAACCCACAGCCCCCCCGGTGCCCCTCACCGCCGTACTGCCCCATCTGGGGGGCGGACAGAGAGATGAAGGTGTCGACGTTGTGATCAGGCATCGTGGAGAGCAGAGCTCGGCAGATGAGCCCCCCTAGGGAGAGGGAGAAATGCGGGGGGTCGCTCTGATGCTGGTGGGGGGGGGGGAAGAACCCTGCACATCCCCCTACCACCACTGGGGGAGACAAACAAAACCTGCCCCCATCGCCTGGGTCCAGGTCGGCCTCAGGGGGCACAGTGCAATTCCGACGGTGAGCAGCAGGGGGAGGCACCAAAGCCAGACCCCCCCTCAGCCCCCCAGCTCCGCCGGCGCCCCTCACTCCCGACCCGCAGCCCCCCGGCTCTCCCAGCCTGGGTGGGTACCCGGGCCCCTGGGGCCGGACGTACCCTGCGAGTAGCAGATGAGATGCACCCCGTTGGCCGCGTTCTGCATGATGGGCGAAATGGCCCGTCGGAAACCCTCCACCTGCACCCAGAGCGGCTTCAGGCTCTGGCTGTGGTCAAAGAGATCCACGACCGTCACGTTGGTGCCCGGGTGGGTCTGTGCCAGGGAGAGACGGGTAAGAGCCCAGCCAGCCCAGCCCTGCCCCCTGCTCCGCCGGTGCCCCTCACTCCCGACCCGCAGCCCCCTGCCAGCCCAGCCCTGGGCTCCCCCACAGCTCTGTTGATTCCTGCGTGGGTGGGGATTGGAGAGAACTGATTTCACTTGGCATTTATCTTCAGAGTTTAAAACAAACTTTGCACTCAGACAGACTCAAGCTGCCTGCCAGGCCCAGTCTGTGTTACAGGAGGGAAACTGAGGCAGGGAGAGAGGAAGGACGTGCTTGAGGTCACACAGTGCGTGGGGAATGGAACCCAGGCGTTCGAGCCCCACCCTGCTCTGAGCCCCCAGAGAGAACCCAGGAGTCCTGGCTCCCAGCCCCCCCTTCCTCTAACCCACCAGACCCCACTCCCTTCCCAGAGCTGGGGAGAGAAACCAGAAGTGCTGAATATCTGGTCTAACTACTACACCCCACTGCCCATGTTCCCCTCACGCCAAGGGTGTCTCTGGCTTGTTTTTCTACCTGCTTGTTTCGCTCCAGGGCCCTGAGTCAGCTGGGCTGGGGCTGGCAAAATCCACCCTCTGCCCATCTGCCCCTGTCCCGCCCACAGCTGGGAGAGAACCCAGGAGTCCTGGCTCCCAGCCCCCCCCCCCGCTCTAACCACTAGGCCCCACTCTCCGCCCCCCCGAGCCGGGGAGAGACCCAGGCGCCCGGGGTGGGGACCCAGGCGTCCGGCGGACCTGGTTGATGAAGTGTAGCAGCGGGCTGAAGTCCGAGGGGCTGTCGAAAAGGCCGTGCACGACCACGACCGGCTTGTAGGCGGCGCCGAGGGGGAGGAGGAGGAGGAGGAAGAGGGGGGGCAGCGCCCCCCAGATCCTCTGGGGTCGGCTCATCGTCCTGGAATCCCACCAAGGCGCAGGGGGGTCTGGGCAGGAGAGAGAGAGACAGTTTAAGGTGCACCCCCCCAAATTCACCTCCCCCTCCACTGCACCCCCGTTTTGCAAGCAGGGGGGAGAAAACCCAGGCGTCCGGGCTCCCAGCCCCCCTGCTCTAACCCACCAGCCCCCTCTCCCCTTCCAGAGCTGGGAGAGAACCCAGGCGTCCGGGCTCCCAGCCCCACCCCCGAACCACTAGACCCCCCCTTTCCGCCCCTCCCCGCGCAGGGGTGGGACCCAGGAGTCCGGCTCCCAATGGGGGTGCAATGCAGGTCAGTTCACCCCCTTTCTCAGCCCCCCCCCGCTACGGAGAAGGGGCCCTTTGAGGGTCACCCCCACTGCAAAGTTTCTAGCCCCCCCGCCTCTGTGACCCCCCCGCTTTGCCCCCCTGCAGCCAGCCGGGTCCCCCGTAATGCACCCGGGGGCTCCGGGGAGGACCCCAAAATCCCCCGTACCCCGGGGGGGATTTCAGCCCCTCCCTCTTTCAGGGACCAGGACGCCTGGGTCCTCTCCCCGCCCCCCCTTGAATGCACAGCGGCGGCCCCTCCCCCACGGCCGGGGGGCGGATCTCACCCCGCGATCCGGCCGGTCCCTTGTTTACTTCCCGCGCCCCCCCCCCCCGCGTCAGTTCCGGAAGTCGGCCCCGGCAACGGCGCAGGCTTCCCTAGCAACGGATGTCTGAGAATTCCACGGCCCCCCCGCCCTGGATGCCCCCCGCCGGAGCTGGCAGAGAACCCAGGAGTCCTGGCTCCCAGACCCCCCTGCTCTAACCCACCAGCCCCCGCTCCCCTCCCAGAGCTGGGGAGAGAAAGAACCCAGGAGTCCTGGCTTACAGCCTGCCCCACCCAGCTGGGGAAAGAAAGAACCCAGGAGTCCTGGCTCCGAGCCCCGCCCCCACTCTAATACACTAGCCCGCACTCCCCTCCCAGAGCCGGGAGAGAACCCAGGCGTCCTGGCTCCCGGCCCCCCCTCCCAGAGCCAAGAGAGAACCCAGGAGTCCTGGGTCCCAGCCCCCGCAGAGCTGGGAGAGAACCCAGGCGTCCTGGCTCCCGGCCCCCCCTCCAAGAGCTGGGAGAGAACCCAGGCGTCCTGGCTCCCGGCCCCCCCCAGAGCTGGGAGAGAACCCAGGAGTCCTGGGTCCCAGCCCCCCCAGAGCTGGGAGAGAACCCAGGCGTCCTGGCTCCCGGCCCCCCTCCCAGAGCTGGGAGAGAACCCAGGCATCCTGGCTCCCGTCCCCCCCTCCCAGAGCCAAGAGAGAACCCAGGCGTCCTGGGTCCCAGCCCCCCCCAGAGCTGGGAGAGAACCCAGGCGTCCTGGCTCCCGGCCCCCCCTCCCAGAGCCAAGAGAGAACCCAGGCGTCCTGGCTCCCGGCCCGCTCTCCAGGAGCTGGCACGCGCGCCCGCTTGCAGGGCAAACACTGGGCGCCGGGGAAGGGCTTGTCAAGGGCCGCTGGAGAGGCCGGGAGGGAGAAGGGGAAACCCGGGAAAAGCCGGAACTTGCCCCAGGCAGAGCCCTGCGGAGCCGGCCCGGAGCAGGGGCCTTGGCTGTGTGGGTACCATGGGGGGCTGAGAGTCACTGAACCAAGCCGGACCCCCGGGGAGGATGGAAACCCTGTCAAGCTGGGGGTGCGTCCGCCCCCCAGCCCCCCTAGTTCCAGCCCCTCTGCCCTGCAGGCCGAGAAATCGCTGGGCACAAGGGGGGATCACAGCCCCTGATACTAACACGGCCGGGACACGAGCCAGGCCCTCCCGCCGTGGGCTCCCGCATTCGTTTGGCGCCGTCTCCCGAGCGGTAACGGGGCGGGAGCCAGTCAAAGCCGTGAGTGTCAGGGGTCCCGCGAGAACAGGGTCACCAGACGTCCCGATCTGAAAGGGACAGTCCAGATTTTGGGGGCTTTTCTTATATAGGCTCCTATTGCCCCCCACCCCGTCCCGATTTTGCACACTTGCTATCTGGTCACCCGATGCGAGAATCACCTAAGACTCCCACGCCAGCCGGCTGCCCGGGCGGGGCGGGAGTTAGCACCACTCCGGAGGGATGCCGTCCTGGTCCGAAAGATGGAGCCCCGCCGGGCGCCCGCCGGCGCGATGACCGGGTCGGCCCCCGGCCAGAGCCACGGGACCCATCACAAGACAGGGGCTGACGCACCGGCGGCTGCCGGCTCGAATCAACCCTCCGGTCTCAACACAAACGCGGCAAAGCGCACGGTAACGGCAGGCGACAGCTCCACGCCCGGCGCAGTTACAGCCGCCAGCGCCTGGGAAATGAAATAGAGCCGAGGCCGCGGAAACCAAGACGCATACCTGACTCTATGTCCAGCCACCAAAACCCAGGGGCGCTGCAAAGCCTGACGAAAAAGCCTCGTTAATTACGGCACACGCGTGTAGCGAATAAACCGCTGCCTCGACTCAAGCAGAAGAGGACGGATGGCCGACGGGTCCCTTTCCGAGACAACCGTCGAGTCGGCCGCCGCACGACCGGGGCCAGAAGAGAAGGAAAGAACTCGCCGGCTCTGCGCAGAACAGAGAGATCCCCAGATCGATGCAAACGAGTCTGAGGAAATCGCCGCATTAATGACTCATCCGATACGTTACCGAGGATGATAATAAAATGGAGTTTGATGAAGAAACGCTCATGAGTCTTTCTGCCCGACCAGCTCAGAGCTCTAGACCCTACCTAGGAATACAACGCTGGATCTCACCACATCTATTCCGGATCAGAGGGAGTCTGGGCCTGTCCAATGACCCCATGCCTACGCCGCTGTATTTATCGGCGAAATAATCAGATAGTACGAAAGACAGCGCTGCTGAGGAGCAGTAAGAAGAGGTCGTTTGCTCAGAGAGAGTTGTATCAATTCCGAGGGCTGCGCTGATATGTGCCTGGGAACCCTGCTACCTCTGAGCTCGGTTCGTTAATCGCGAGGTAGCGAAAATACAAAGGTGAGTCAGTGAACAGATATTAACGACCACTAGCCCAATAATAGGGCTGGGCCGGTCCTTACCTCTCCGGGCAGCGCTCCGGGGGGCTGGCCGGCTCGGGTCTGGTCCGACCCAGCCCCGCTGTGGCTTTTCCAGCCAGATCTTCACCACCAGCTGGGTTTCATTTCCCTCCGACTGGGACCGGGATCGCAAAGGGGAACCGGGATCGCAAAGGGGAACCGGGCTCCACACCAGATCAGAAACTTCCTCAGACTTCAGAGTAGCAGCTGTGTTCGTCTGTATCCGCAAAAAGAACAGGAGGACTCGTGACACCTTAGGGAGTAACACATTTATTTGAGCGTAAGCTTTCATGGGCTATGGCTCACTGCATCGGATGCTCACGAATGCTCAGCTGTAGCCCACGAAAGCTTATGCTCAAATAAATTGGTTCGTCTCTAAGGTGCCACGAGTCCTCCTGTTCGTTTTCCTCAGACGGTCACTCAAATGTGTCAAGTGCCCTGAGAGGGGAGTGTGGGCTGGTGTTAGATCTGGTGGGGGCTCGGCACTAGGACTCCTGGGTTCTCTCCCTGGTGCTGGGAGGGGAGTGGGGTTTACTGACGCTCACCCCATGCTAACCCCATGACACGAAGCGCCGGTGGAAAGCATGAACCGGCTCTGGACGCGCCCATGACCAGTGAGAGCCCGGGGAAGAGGCTGAGACGAAGGGTTGAGGCCTGGCCGGGACTTTCCAGGAGCCGCGTCAACCTTCCCAGGGTGTCACAGAGCGAAAACCTGAGTCTGGTTCCTTTCCAAGGCCCAAGAAAAGGGGAACACAAATTCCACTGGCTCAGTCCTAGGGTCATAATGGGAGCCCTGGCCAAAATCAGGGCCCCGTCGCGCCGGGCGCTGTACAGACTCTGGCCGGGATCAGGGCCCCGTCGCGCCGGGGTGTGACTCAGTGAGAGCTGGTCCCCTGAGCCCAGGAGCTCGCAGTCTCACTAGACACAGGAAGGATCATTATCCCCACTTGGGGAAACTGAGGCAGGGAGTGATTCCCTGATTGGCCCAAAGTCCCAAAGACAGTCTGCGGCCGAGCTGGAGAGAGAACCCAGGTGTCCTGGCTCCCAGCCCCCCCCCGCTCCAACCCACTAACTGCCCCTCCCCTCCCCCAGCTGGGGAGAGAACCCAGGCGTCCGGGTGCCCCGCCCTCCCCCCGTTGAGGGCTGCGTTGGGGGAGGGGCGCCCCGGAGGGTCTTTGCAGCAGCGCCTCCTGCCGGCCCGCCCCCGCAACCAGGCCCCGCAGCGGCGTCGGCTTCCTGCCCGCGGATTGCAGCCGGGTCAGGGCCGCACCCCGCCCGGCCGAGCCGCGGGGCCCTTGGCCGCCCCCCCGCCCCGGGCATGGGGCGCTGGAGGTTCCTTCTGCAGCCCTGGCGAGCCGCGGGGTCGCGCGCCCCGGTGAGTGGGCGGGGGCGGCGGGGGGGGCCCGTTGCAAACAGCTGCTGGGCTGCAGACCTGCGGGGGGGGGGGCTTTGCAAAGCCCCCCCCCCCCCCCCCGGCTGGGTCGCAACTTTGCAGCGCGGGGGAGGCCCCCACCCCGGGCCGGGGGTGACTCTGGCTGCACGTGCCCCGCTCGTAGCGGCGGGGGGGGGGGCGCGTGCGGCCCTTTGCGGGGCCCCTGCGGGCGCTTTTGCGGAGCGGCCACCGCCAGGGGTTTGCTGCAGCCGCAGCCTTGACGCCCGCAACTCGGGCCCGGGGGGCGGGGGGGGGGCTGGTGCCTTGGCCGCTTTGGGAGCGGGACCCCCCCCCAACTTGGCAGCGGTCCCAATGGCAGGTTCACGGCGGCGGGGACCCCCCGGCAGGCGGCTGCAGCTGGCCGGGGTCCCCCGCTGCCTCTGCAACCCCGCCGCTGAGGTGGAGGGTCGCGGCACCCCCACTTAGCGAGGGGGGGCCGGGGGGAGCCCCGGGGGGAGCCCCGGGGGGGCGGGGCGGCCGGGGGGAGCCCCGGGGCGGCCGGGGGGAGCCGGGTTCCAGCTGGTGCCCTGGAGACTTCCCAGGTGCAGCTCCGGGGGCAGCTGCAGTTGCCCCAGGGCGGCGGGTGCCCCTTGTCCTTGGTGCCTTCGAGCCTTTCCTGTCCCGCAGCGGCCCCCCGCGCGGGGCCTGGCCTCGTCCTTCCCGCTGCCCCGGCAGCCCGTGGCCCCGCTGGCCCAGACGCTGGAGCGGTATCTGCGCTCGCTGGAGGTGCTGGTCACGCCCGAGGAGCTGGAGGAAACCCGGCAGCTGGTGCAGGAGTTCGGGGCGCCCGGCGGGGAGGGGGAGCGGCTGCAGGCCCAGCTGGAGCGCAGAGCCGCCCGCATGGAGAACTGGGTAGAGCTGGGGGGACCCAGGCGTCCGGGGGTTAGGGAGCTGGGTGGGGAACCCAGGAGTCCTGGGCAGGGCTGGGAGCAGGCAGAACCCAGGAGTTTGGGGGGAGGGGTGAAAGGTGGGGGAACCCAGGAGTCCTGTGAGGGTCCCTGGAGCTTTTGGCGGGGAACACGGGGTGGACGGTGGGAACCCCGGCATCCGGGGCAGGAGACCCAGGTGGAAGGGGATCGGAGGGACCTGGCTGGGAGGGCTGTCCCGGGACAGCGCTCCCTGGTGGTGATGCTGCTCAGCCCCATCAGTGCAATGAGGTTGTGCCAGGTCTCAGCCTGGGGGGGGAGCTCAGGTCAAAGGCCCCATGACCCCCAGCCCCGATTCTAACCCTGGTCTGTCCTCCCCACCCCCCACCCCCAGCTCTCGGATTGGTGGGTGCAGAGCGCGTATCTGGAGAGCCGCTTACCCCTCACCGTCCACTCCAGCCCGGCCGTCGTGCTCCCCAAACAGGACTACAGCGACTGGAGGGGGCAGCTCCGGTGGGTATCGGGGAGGCGGAGCCCAGGGATGGGCTGGCAGGGGGCTGTGGGTCGGGAGTGAGGGGCACCGGCAGGGTGGGGGAAGCCCAGGGATGGGCTGGCAGGGGGCTGCGGGTCGGGAGTGAGGGGCACCGGCAGGGTGGGGGAAGCCCAGGGATGGGCTGGCAGGGGGCTGTGGGTCGGGAGTGAGGGGCACCGGCAGGGTGGGGGAAGCCCAGGGATGGGCTGGCAGGGGGCTGTGGGTCGGGAGTGAGGGGCACTGGCAGGGTGGGGGAAGCCCAGGGATGGGCTGGCAGGGGGCTGTGGGTCGGGAGTGAGGGGCACCGGCAGGGTGGGGGAAGCCCAGGGATGGGCTGGCAGGGGGCTGTGGGTCGGGAGTGAGGGGCACCGGCAGGGTGGGGGAAGCCCAGGGATGGGCTGGCAGGGGGCTGCGGGTCGGGAGTGAGGGGCACTGGTGGATCTGTGATTCCCCCCCCGCCCCCCCCAGGTTTGCAGCGAAGCTCATCGCAGGGGTGCTGGATTTCAAGGCTAAGATTGATCAGTAAGTGCCTGACCCCCCCCCCCCCGCATCGGGGGAGGGTTGGGAGAAGGGGGTTCTATTGGGGGACTAGATATCAGAGTTTGGTGGGAGGGGGGAGGGGAGGGGCTATATGGGACCCAGGCGGGAGGGGAGGCTCTTGGGGTGAGGGAGGGGGCGATGCAGGGCAGGACTGGGGGGCCCTGGGGGTGAGGGAGCGGGCGATGCGGGGCGGGACTGGGGGGGCTCTTGGGGTGAGGGAGCGGGCGATGCGGGGCGGGACTGGGGGGGCCCTGGGGGTGAGGGAGGGGGCGATGCGGGGAGGGGACGGGGGGGCCCTGGGGGTGAGGGAGGGGGCGATGCGGGGCGGGACTGGGGGGGTTGCTCTGCCCCGTGTGTCTCACGTACCCCCCCCCAGGCAGGCTCTGCTGGTGGAGTACCGGGGGGGGCACCCCCAGTGCATGGCCCAGTACAGCCGCCTCTTCGCCTCCTGCCGCCTGCCCGGCCCCAAGCATGACGGGCTCCTGCTGCCCCCCCCGGGGCGCCGGGCCCCCACTTTCATCACCGTCGTCCGCAACTTCCAGGTACTCCCGGGGCCCCCGACCCGGCCCGGCCCCCAGAACTGTCCCTGCCCTGGGACCCCCTGGGAAACGTGCCCCCCAGAGCCCCCTCAAGTGACACCCCCAAGTCCCGCTCTGCCCAGGTATGTCCCCCCCGCACCTCCCCCTCAGAGTCTGGGGTTCCCGGGGTGGGGGCAACTGGGGGGTGTCCACGTAGGGAGTGGGGCTAGCTGACTCCTGAGGGGTTCTGAGCTGTATGTGGGGGAAAGGGGGCGTTTGCAGGGTGTCTGTGTTGGGGCTGGGGGGCTGACCCGACTCCCGGCCCCCAGTTTTTCCAGCTGGAGGTGTACAACAGCGATGGGACCCCCCTCACCGTGGACCAGCTGCACCTGCAGCTGCAGCGTGTCCGGGGGCTGTCGTGGAAGACGGACAAGGAGCCGCTGGGGGTGCTGACTGGGGACCACCGGCACACCTGGGGCCAGGCCTACAGCACCCTCATGAGAGGTACGGGGGACCCTTGTGAGGGGTATGGGGGTCCTGGGGACCCCAAAAGCTGGGCCAGGCCTGCCGCACCCTCATGAGAGGTGGAGGGGGGGCCTGGGCCTGGGAGACCTGGCTGGGGCTCCAGGTATATCTCCAGATGTAACGGGGGAAGGGGAAAAGAGGCGGGACTTCCTGCTTTGGAAGGGGCTGAAGGGGGACCCCGTCGCCCGGGGGACAGCAGTGAATGGGGTGTAACAAGGGCAGGACCCCAAAGCAGGGAGGATCTGGGTTCAAATCCTGCTTGGGGGAGGGGCTGACCCGTCCGGTGACCCCGCCCCCAGACCGGCTGAACCGGGAGTCGGCCCGGTGCATCCAGCGCAGCCTCTTCACCGTCTGCCTCGACGCCCCCGGTGCTGAAGGTGTCGGACGAGCGCTACCCCAGCCGCGTCGCCGCCCAGATGCTGCACGGGGGCGGCAGCTACTCCAACAGCGGCAACCGCTGGTTCGACAAGACCCTGCAGGTGAGGCGGGGGCGGGACTTCCTGCTTTGGGAGCAAGGGGGGGCGGGACTTCCTGTGTTGGAGTGCTGGGTGGGGGCAGGACTTCCTAATTTCGGGCACTGAAGAAAATGTAGAGAGGGAGGTGGGATTTCCTAGTTTGGGCTGCAAGGGTGGGACTGTGTATAGGGAGGTGGGACTTCCTGTTTTGTACAAGTAAAGAGGCGGGACTTCCTGTTTGGGGATTACGGTGGAAGGGGAGAGGTGGGATTTCCTGTCTTGTGGACCTGGCCTGACCCTCATGCGCCTTCTTTCTCTCTCTTGTTCCCTGCCCCCAGTTCATTGTGGGGGAGGATGGCGTTTTGCGGGGTGCTGTATGAACAGGCCGTGGCCGACGGGGCCCCCATAGCCACCATCATCG